TTAGGTTTCGTAGAGAGAGAGAGAGAGAGAGAGAGGTGGTAGTTTTCTTTTTCTGTAACGAAGTAATAAGTTGTGGCACTTGGGCTCTATATTTTGCAGGGAAAAGTGTGGAAGTTACTCGTTTCTATTTTTGATGGGTGTGGTTTCTATAAGGTTACTTTAAACAATCCAATTACGGTGTATCTCCAAATTTTATCATAATATGTAATTTTGGTGTAAAATTTTTTTAGGACTATCTCAAAATCTATTTTTAATGTTTAATTATAAATTTTTAAACTCAAAAAATGGTTAAAATCAAATAGATCTATAAACATTTGAAAATTTTGAAAATGGACGGTCTAGATAATGTGTTGCAAGATGCACTATTTTTATGACTCAATATCCTTTTGTTTTTTAGAAAATTATATATATATCCATTTTAATTTACGTTATTACCAAAATATTGAGTACTTTTCGTTATTACTCATCTGACCATTTTTTTACTTCATAACAACTTTTCTTTAAAAAAGACGTGGCTATCAATTTTCGGTTTTTCAAGAATCTAAACTTTAAAATTTTGATTTTTCAAAAACCTAAATTTTCTTGAACTTTCACGTCTGCTGTGAAAGAGAAAACGAAGTGAGGATTTAAATACACGTATCAAAGTCGCAAATTCGTGCGGAGTTTGTAGAGAGAGAAAGCTTGAAGTGTTGTTAAAGATGCAAGACACTCTAAAATAGAGGAAACTGCATTGGAAAGAGATAACCCATGACCAATTAGTGATACGGAGATGGAATATGTTATATACTTAGTACGTGCTCCCTCACCAGTTAGAGATATGAAAAGAGATTTACCCAAATTACCATGCAAAAAGATCAAAATTTTAAAGTTTTTGTTTCTAGAAAAACTGAAATTTTAAATTTTTTGATTTTTGAAATACCAAAAATGAGTAATTTCGTCTATTTTTTAAAAAATGCTATTATGAGGGACATATGAGTAATAACTGAAAGCATTTGGTATTT